AGGACATGCGTCAAGCAATAGGGGATGCTCTGGGTACACGTGTCAAGCAAACGACGCTCCGGGTACATTCATGTCGAGGACACGTGTCAAGCAGAGAACACTCCGAAGAGATTCGTGCCAAGGACACGTGTCAAGCGGAGAACACTTTGAGGCCACTATGCCGGGGACACATGTCGTCTCCCCATCAACACTCATATTTGTCGTGAACTCACAACGATGAGTTGACTTAAATTCACAAATCATGAATTTTAGTTCTTCTGACTGTGTAATACCCAAGTATTACCGTTGTGGTTTGTACATAATTACGTGTATTCAAAATTTGTATGGCAACCATGAGCCAAAGGAAGAGTAATTGAAATGAAAAGATAAATCAATGGCTATAAGACATGTTTGTTTCAAGGAATTAATTGGGTGAGATTAGAGTATTCATTCCAGCCCTTGGGTTTGATAAGCGTAGTTTATTATCTTTTTCTATCCTAGACAACGTTTGAGTAAGTTTTTTACAATACATGAGCGTCCACGAAATGTAATAATTGCATTTGAGGTTGACTTGAATGCTCTTCACATCTATTTAGACCATGAGTTATTAAAAAAGATAATATGATAATTTATATTTCTTGTGGTCCCCACAATAAAAAAAAAAGAGGTGTTATATGGTGTCAATTGATTTTAGTACCCTTGTCTCGCCATAAAACATAGGCATCGAAAGGAATAATATTATAATTTATCCTTGTAATACCATATGTTGATTCATTACCCCATTATTATATCACCCCAAGGTGATATTAATTAAACCCTCCTAAATGGGTATATTTGCACTTTAGCACCAGACTGGTGTTATTTTTAAATTTTTGTACTAGGCCGACAATAATACAATTCTAACCATGACAGTATCTATTGATTAAGTGACACATATTCGAGGTTAAGTATAATTTATCATTAAAAGTATTACGGAATAATGGAATCCAATCGGCCCGGTTGTTACAATATTCAATCCCGCTATGCCACATCATTAACTACACTCTCTCTAGTTTACTTAAATCTTGAAGGATATTTTTTTATTTTTTGAATCTTCACTTACACCCCTGTTAAATTAAAAGTGATAACTAGAATGCAATTTTATTAAATTGCACATGCAAACTTCATCCACACCCTTTTTAGATAAGCATATCTTCAACGAGACACCCCTTATTTTTAAAATTGTTTACGTATTAAAATTCGAACTAATTAAAATTTATTTTTTACGTATTAAAATTGAATAGATTAAAAATTATATTTTTTTTATGTATTAAAATTTGAGCCAATTAAAATTTTATTTGAGCCAATTAAAAATTATTTTTAATCGAATCAAATCAAATTTTAATTAACTAGCATTGAATTTTAATCTATCCAAATTTTAATAAATCAAAAAAATAATAATTTTAATTGACTCGAATTCTAATTGACACAAATTTTAATAAGTAAAAAATTATAAATTTTAATTGTCTAGAAAACGAATTTTAATCAGCTCTAACAACTCGGGTAGAGTTCAAATCGGTTCGAATTTTAATACCTAAAAAAGAATAAAATTTAATCTGCTTGAATCGAATTTTAATCGGTTGAAATTTTAATATGTGAAAAAATAAATTTTAATCAACTTGAATTTTAATATGCAAAAAAATAAATTTTAATCAGTTCAAATTTTTAATAAAATTTTATGTAGAAAAAATATTTTGGGGTTTATGTAAGGACATTTTTGATATTTTAGATAAATTTTTTTTATTAGAAATAGTGATTTAATGGCGGGGTAACAATGGTGTTTAAATATAAACTAAAACGCATGTCAATAATATTTTTGATAATAGAAAGAATGTCTTTGAAATATAATAAATTAAAAGAAATGTGGCCGAAATTTTTTTTTAAAAGGAAGAGATTTTTGACGTGGCGTGACGCCATCCGAGCGGATCCACTGTTGAGGATAAGCACAAGCATTGGGAGACCCTCTTTTGCCCACTACCGATAGTATGTAGCCCCGAAAATTGACATGAAATTAGAATAAAATTAGCCAAATTTTGTACTATTTTTAATTTCTTCTTTTTTTTTATTAGAAAGATAGACGTCATTAAATAAATGAATGATGGTTGCAATCCTTCTACAGGACTTTCCAGTTGGCCACTTGATTACAGGATATTCTATCACAATCTTATAACTCTATTGTCATCATCACTCTCACCCAAGCCCCAATTGTCACCCCTCATTTCCAACTCTAATATTATTAGGCGATGAGTAATATTATTTGAACATAAAATTTTAATTTAATTTATCGATATAATTATGTGATTTCAGTATAACTATTGAATCAATATTAAGTTTCGATGTTTGATAGGCTCTATAATTAATTCAAATATCATAGTGATTTAGATCAGTAAATTAGGTCCCAATAACATTGTTCTTAGACGATTATCCATTGTGTTAAATTAAAAAGATGGCATATTAAAAATTAAAGTAATTTTGTAAGAGTAATTTCATAAGTCACATAAAATAATTTAGGATTAATTATAAAATGTCTCTTCCAAATTTAGGTCAGGTTGTAATCGACTCTTTCAAGTTTTAAATTCAACAATTTACTCCCTCCAAATTTGAATAATTTTTAATTAATTATTACCGTTAATTGACCACAGTTAAAAAAGACAGAAGTTTATTAAAAACTCAGAACTACACTCATCTTAATATTTTATATAAAAATAAAAATAAAAATAAAACCTCCCTCCCCTTCCGCCCACCTCCTTAGTGAAACCAAAACCTATCTCCATCCTCGTCTGGTGAACCCACCTCTCTTAGTGAAAACAAAACTCATCTCCCTCTCGTTCCGACGAACCCACCTCCCTACCCCTCCGGTGAAACCGAAACCCAACCCCACACAAATAATCCACCTCCTCCTCCCTCCCCCAGCAGTGAAACCGAAACTCATCACCACCCAAACAATCCACCTCCCTCCCCTTCCAGTGAAATCAAAATCCACTTGTACCCCAACAATTGAAATCCCTCTAGTGAAACCGAAACATCCATACACAGAAGCACTGGTAAAACCAAACATCCACTCACCCCACCCTTAAACAACTACCCTCCCTCCCTTTCCTCCAGTGAAACCAAAACTCACCCCTAGTAATAGCCCCCAAACAGCCCAAACCCCATAAGAAATCTACTCTCCATTGGGCAACACCCATTTGGAAAAGAGAGAGAGAGAGAAAGAAAGAAGGGGTTGGGAGCTTTGTCGGAGCTAGTATGTGGAGGGAAGGAAGGGCCAAAGCTGGGGAAGAGGATTGGGGGCATTGCCAGAGTTGGGATGGAGCTGAATACAAAGCAAAAATGAAAAAAAAAAAATTGATGTTAGGGTAGTTTAGGAAGTTCACATTTTTCACTCACTCAATCAATTAATTTTGTCCCCTAAAAAAACTTTAAGGGGACAAATTGTCAAATTTAAAACCCAAGGAGTCGATTGCAACATGACCCAAATATGGAGGGGTATTTTGTAATTAATCCAATAATTTAATTGGATGAGATTAATGTATTGTTATTAAATAATTTAAAATTAAAAAAATTAATTTTTAATGAGGGAAGATCTCATAAGTACTCTCTCTCCCAAATTGATTGTTATAAAAATATAAATTTAAAAAAGGAGAGAGAATATGTGTGGAGAATACAGGAAAATGGGGAGAGAGTAAGTAGGAGAGAAACTTGGGTAATTGCACAATTTTAAGAGTTATCATATTAATGAGTAATTAAGTTATTAAAAACTAAGGGACAATAAAATGCGGGAAGTTTGAATCTGATTAGGTTATTTCAAATAGAGTTGATTTTCTTAAACTTAGTTTTCCAAATTTTTTTTTTACAATAAGAACCAATTGTGAAAAACCACATCATTTTTTAATCTAACATTATGTATTGGTCATACGAGTGACACAATACATCTCGGGCAATTATATTTAATAAACATGCTTTGACACCTCGTATCATACAAATTAAATAATTTTTAAGGTTATTCTATATTTGTGTTAAAAAATATAAAAATCAATATGTAATTAAAAATAAAATAAAATCGCATGACGTACATGCGTCAAGCAAATTGAGACTAAAACCGTGAGCATGGCATGATTAAAATTAGGGGGTCAAATGTATCGTATTCGTGTGACGCATACATGATGTTATTTGAGTTAAGTCATTGTTATTCGTGTTATGACCCACAAATTTTTTTTTTGTTTAATGTGTTTTGAAAATTCAAAATTAGTCTAGATTATTTATTATGCGTATTTAATAATTGTGTCGATTTTTTAATCGTTCGTGTCAAATTCGTATTAACGGGTTAAAGTCGACACCCCTAATTAAAATATGACTCTCAAGTATAATCTTCCCTCCTTGAGCTTATTGTGTCTCATCAATGAGTCTATCTGGATTCCTTTTTCTTTCTGTTTTTTGTGCATTAAAAAAATTATAAATAGATCACTTTACAAGTTCACCTGAAAATATTATTTTTTGCTATCGCAGCAGTTATATTAGGTTGAAATTAAAGTTTTATTGCATATATTGAACACTAAAAAATATGTTTAATCTCACTAAATTATTATAAATATAAAAATTCAAACCCAAATATTAGACGAAAAAGTATGAGTTATTACACATTAAACCAACCGATTGATTGCGAGTCATAATAAAACTTTCTCTAAATCCAGTGAGAGATTAAGATTAACAACAATAAACTAATTCCCGCCCTTACACTTATGAGTAAATATTCAATTCGATATTACAATGTTATTAATATCGTTATGATTTTTTTTATTCAATAAATATATATAATAAAATATATCTCAGGATCTATTTGCTTAGTTGTTGAGTTTTTATTGGACGGTGATGTCTAGTCCGTTTTTCGAGTACATCCAGTTGGTTGAATATTCTCCGACTGTGGTGTACTACAGATCAAAACCCAGCCGAGAGTTCTCTCTCTCCGACAAAAAGGATACGTGGCGACAAAACCCAAGTCAAGCGTAAGAACTTCAAAACGAAGAACCAGTCATCGTTAAGGTTGAATCTGTGAACGCTTCGGTCTATTCTCTTCGTCTCCGGTGTCTCCCGTCGCCGGTTTACTTCGCTGCTACGAAACCGTTTTCTCTCAGAACGAGAATGGACTTGATGGAGGCTTCGATTCTACTTCATGTGGGAATTGTGCTTCTTTTGCTGTGGATACTCTCTTCATTCAATTGTTGCCACCCAATCGCCTACTTTCTCTCCCTAATCTATCTCTATCTGGTAAGCCAGAGAGAGAGCGAGAGAGAGAGCGCGAGTATTATCTTCGGACTTTAACACACATATTTGGAATTGAAGTTTTGTTATCTGGATTCATGGGTGTGGTTTTGTTCTTACAGATTTATGAGCGATATGATATGAGATTGCGGAGGAAAATCCAATTTGAGGAAAGAAGAAAGTCTAGTCGAAGAAGGGTAAACTTTCTTTCGAATATATTTGCTTTAATGGGTATTTTCTATTTAGCAAATTGAGGACACACATCGACGGTAGGATAGGCGTTATATGTCTTAGTTTCATACTTTGGAGATAGAAAACCTAAAGAAGGAGATGAAAATAACAAGTTCAACTGTGCTCGAAAGTTATGTAAAGATGAAGTGGGTGGGACCTTTGGTTCTCAGTTCACAAGCAATAAAAAGTTTGAGATTTCATAAAATGCACTTTTTCAGTAGATTCTCTTATGTATGCTCATAAAAAGTTCTTAATTCTTTGTTACTTTTGCTTTTCTGCAGGCACTTTTTGAGTCCGAAACAGTGCGTTGGTTAAACAATGCTGTTGAAAAAATCTGGCTTGTTTGTATTGAGCAGATTATTTCCCAGAAAATTCTCCTCCCTATCATACCTTGGTTCTTGCAGAAGTACAAGCCGTGGACCGTGGTATGGGCTTCCCTCCTAATACTTTTCTGATTCCTTGATTACATGCTTTTGCTTTAATCCGAAGTGCCTCTTCCTTCAAAGGAAAATGCCTTGAACATCTTATTTACATTCTGATAGTCTGTTGTTAATGAATGCCACTTCAATTGGGTTTGAAGTTTCCGTCAAGTTGAGTGGCCTTGTGGACCTTAATTGTGTATGCCACAACCCCACAATTTAAGAGCAGTCTGTTTACTTTGATGACGAATTGTTTATGTGGATAATGCTTGCATTGTTGTAGTGTGTATTATTAGTAATGAGCTGGCAAGTTTGCAACCTTGGTGTGGAGATTGAGTTCTGATTCTTTGTGATCCTGAGAATCATTTTTGGTATACTTGTAGAAGAAAGCTGTGGTTCAGCATCTGTATATGGGAAGATCTCCACCTATTTTCACTGAAATGAGGGTTATTCGTCAACCTAATGATGACGACCACTTGGTATGCAATTTTGACTCAGGCATTATGGACTGCCTTCATTGCTTTGGTAGTAGTGACCAGCATTTATATACTTATTTGCTAAAGTGATTTTAAATGCAGGTTTTGGAATTGGGAATTAATTTTCGTGCTGCGGATGATATGAGTGCAATACTTGCTGTAAAACTGAGGAAAAGATTGGGTTTAGGAATGCGGACAAAGTTGCATTTGATGGGCATGCACATTGAAGGAAAGGTAAGATATGCATGAGCTTTTGGCATGACAAAGTAGTCCAAGCTATGGCTGTGAGCTTTCTTCGTAGGCCTTGAGGCATTCAAGTATTTGATGCTTAGGCAGTTTAAACTTCAAACTTAACTCATCTAAACTCATCAAGCCTTGAACCAACTACTTAGGTTGGCTGTATGGATCCTTTTCTGGAGTGCTTATATCTCATTAGACAGGAAGAGAAACAGAAATGAAACAGGTCCATTAGATACAGACAAAATGTTTGATGTGTAGCATGGAATAAACCCTTGATGCAAGAACATTTTTTGTTGAATACTTTGAGATTTTTTAATTAAAATTTTCCCTTTATAGGCACAAGGCCCTTGATCAATTTATTGTCATTTGAATCATCATCCCTTGTTGCACATTACTCATAATAGCATGGGCTTTTTTTCAATGTTTTCTGTCCTAATAGAATTTAACTTGTCATTTATGTAGTTTAAGGTTACCCGGCTTCTGGAATGTATCATAAAGATACTGTGTCGTTGTTTTTTGTTAGTTCAGCCCAAAATTTTCGCACTTCAGCTTTTACTTGTCTTCTCAGTAATTGACATGTTCTTAACAATGGGATATCTAATAAGCCATTCTTTTTTTAAGGAGTTATCTGTTCTTTCTTTCTTTTAGGTCTTGATTGGGTTGAAGTTCCTTCACAAGTGGCCCTTCCTTGGTCGTCTGCGTGTCTGCTTTGCGGAGCCTCCATATTTTCAGATGGTTGTGAAACCTCTTTTCACGCGTGGCCTTGATGTTACAGAACTTCCTGGGATCGCTGGATGGCTGGTAGGATAATTTCATGGATTGGGCACAATGATCTCTCCGTTCCTGCCTTTCTCTCCCTCTCTCTCTCTCTCTATATATATATATATATATATCTGTCTCTGTTTCTTTCTCTCTCTCTCTCTCACACACACACACACTGACTGCCATTTATTTGGTTTTCCTTGTTTAGGATAAGCTTCTGGCCCTTGCCTTTGAGGAAACACTTGTTGAGGTGCAGTTTTGCAGATTTTGATACTTCATGTCTCCTCCTTGTTAGGCTATTATTTCATCCCGCTTTTTGTTGTTAAGTCATGTCTTCTCCTTTAGTTGATGGATGTTGATTGAGCAGTTCAGGATGCAGTGATTGTAGGTTTAATATGAAGAAAACAATTATCGACAACTACATTTAAATCTATATGTTCACTATTTGTGCAGCCCAATATGCTGGTGGTTGATGTGGAAAAATTTGCTTCACCCTCACCCCAGCCAGGTAATTCATGACACAAAACAATTAGCTTGGCTTTGCAGTCCTAGCCAGAGGATCTAGGATCATTGCTTTGTGGTTAACTGTTAAAATGCCAGAAATAATGCATGTAACTATACGATTACTAGTGGCGTCAACCCATGTGATGCACAGGTATTGATGACCCGTCATATTTGTTTCATTTTCCTTTTGATTCCCCCCAACCCACCACTTGGAAAGTTGAAGAACCATAGAAAGTTATAGGCTAATAAAAGTTATTTTTTATTTTAAACAAATGGTGGTTAGAAATTGAAGGAGCAGAACAGATTATTTGGACCACTTTGTAGAATGTGAATGGATAAACCTTAATATTCTAATTAGGTTAATCAAACTTTGTAAATTACAAAAAGGGAGAGAGAAGGCTTCATAAGCTCTTTCACCCCCCAAAAAAAAAAATGATTCTTATAAATATAAGATATGTAAATGTCACTAGAGGATGTGTCATGATGCATGGAAAGTGCAAAATAATTTGTTACTCGTTATACTTAAAAGAGTAAAGTACATTTTAAATGTCAAGTGTTCTTAATTGAGGTCTTTGTTTTTCTTTCATTCCTTTTACAGTTTTTAGAAGTCAGTTTTTACACAACATATACGTCGACATTAATTCAGTTAGTGTGCATAAACTTGTCAGTGGATATGTAGACACTAGTACTCTTGTTTACACCTGAATTTGAAGATCCAGTAAACCTTGATATACTATAATGTCATTCTGCTTTTTGAATGGCACAATTTTGGTAATGAACATGCTGATAACTCATTTGATGAATGGTTTTGGATCGGTTTCTAGAGACAAGCAAGGAGCTTCCCAGTATTGAAAGTAGTTAACATGAATATGATTGTTCATTCGTTTACAATTCCATGTCGCATAACGTGCTATGATGATTTAACCTTCGTATTGGTCCTTGGTGGAAAATTATGGTTTTCGCTCTTGTAATTTTAGGCTTCTTACCTCTAGATAGTACAAGAAATGGTTTTGTTTGGATAAAACAGTTATTGGGAAGGGATATCATTGGCCTATGTTTTTTTGTTAAAGCACAGTTCTTGACATCCATTGGTTATCTTGTTGGAAGATATGTGGAAGCTTCAAGGGTTTTGGTGGATGTTGTTCCTAGTTTTTATTATTATTATTTAATGTTTTCTATAGTGCAACTTTCTCAGTAATTCAGTGGAGTTGATGTCTTAGCTATTTGGATGGGTTCCATAATGCCAAAGTTTATCCTTTTTATTCATGCTTGAAACTCTTTAGTCATTAAAATTATATTGATCTCACATGTCAGAAAGTTGGTTCTCTGTTGATGCGAAAGATCCCATTGCCCATGCGATGGTGGAAGTTGTTGAAGCATCTGATATGAAGCCATCAGACCCAAATGGTTTGTTCAAACCACATTATTAACTTTGGACAACAACATTCAATCTGAAGTATATGCAAAATTACTGGATGCATCTATTTTTCAGGGTTGGCTGATCCTTATGTGAAAGGGCAACTTGGCCCTTACAGATTTAGGACTAAGCCGCAAAGGAAGACACGGACTCCAAAATGGAATGAGGAATTCAAGATCCCCATCTTTACATGGGAATCACCTAATGTGCTTGCTATCGAAGTGTGTGACAAGGACCATTTTGTCGATGATTCACTGGGGTCTGTTACTTTCTCCTTTTGATAGCAGCACAGAAAATGCACAGCTATTTACTTTTATGCTGTGGAAGCGAGTTTATTCTCTATTCTGAATTAAGTTTACTTAAATGATCATTTGATTCATCAAACTGTTATTTTTCCTTTCCATATTTATTCATAATTGAAAAGTACTGATGTGTTTATATGTTTCCATTGCCTATTTCCTCTGTAACATGTCTATTATCTTACATGTATTTATTGATGATGGGAAGGGGTAGCATTTGTCTTATCCTTCTGTTCAAATGTTCCCCTCCCCTCGCTTCTTTGCGTGTTCTTGTTTAATCGGTGGGGGAATTATGTGTGAAAGAGTCTCAAAGTCGCACATTCTGATTAGAGTCAGACTTTTCTATTTACCATTGTACAAATAGATTTGCATCTCTTGTCTGCTGGATGAAAATTTCACTAGGTTTTCTGAATCTTGACGTTTTAAAGGCTATGATTATTTCACAAGAAGGATTTCTTCGCGTCTTCATTTATTGTCCTGTTTTTTGGTTTCCACATTGTGGGCTGTGCTTTTATCCAATCAATTTTTCTTTTCAAAATACTTCTAATTATTTTGACTCTCTTATGGGTTACAGAGATTGCTCCATGAACCTCAGTGATTTTAGAGATGGTGAGAGGTATGACATGTGGTTGTCTCTTGCGAGCATCAAAATGGGGAGATTACATCTTGCAATAACTGTAGTTGAAGCCAATGGAAAGGTAGTTTTTTCCCTCAAAGTTGTTTCTGAAGCACTCATTTCCAATGTTATCGGAAACCAAATGGCACTGCTTTGAATCCTAGAACTCATGGTATTCATAATCAATGTTGAGAAACAATCTACTGTTTTTTAGGAAATCTGAAATCCTTAGTAAGGTATAAACTTTACAGGGGACAGATCAACCATGTGATGGGGAAACGATAAACGAGTACAAGAGATATTCCTTTGCAACTGATAATGCGGAGAAAGGTTCCTTCTTGCCTGAATCATCAAAGAAGTCTCCAAAAGAGATAAACTTGAACTCATTGACATTGAAGGGCAAGGAGAGACTGGAATATGGGTCAATCATCCAGGGAGTGAAGTTGCACCAGCATCTGCGACTAGAAAAGGGAAGAGTAGGCTCCTTGATACACACATTCCAGGGGAGGCTAGTGATTCCATTGCCACACCCCTGGGTGGATCTCAAGTGAATGACAGCAGCAGCACTGATGAGAGTTTGGAGTATAATAAAGAACCACAAACGAATCCAGTTAGGCGGGGCTTGCAGAAGATCATTTCGGTATTTCACAGGAGCCCAAGACAGCACGGTAAATCCAGCAGCATCGAAGTGTCAGTTCCATCCTCACATTCTAACCTTAGGAATCTTAAGGCAGTTAATGCAAAGGAGATTGGAGTCAAGTTTATAGTGGAGGACGACTCTTCTGATGAAGAATCTCTTTCATCATCAGACCAAACTGTCAGAGTTGAACCTATTTCAGCTGATTTCGATCCCATATCTGGTGTTGGTAATAGATCTTGTAAGTCCAAGGAACTCACAGTAGACACAACTCCAAGTGAACCTGCAATGAATTCTGCAGAACACGAAGAACGATAATATCGAAACCTTGCTGAGGATAGATTATCATCCATCAGACGGCTCTGGGAGGTAAGATGGATTGGTTGAGAGGCTCTCAAACAATAAGCTTTCATAGTGAAATTTGGTATTTAGATAAATGATTAAGTTTTTTGCTTATATTGTCAATAAGTTTAAGTACAGGTTAGTCCACTTGTGATTGAATTTGCATAGAAGTTTTAGAGTGATAATAGGTTTACGCAGTTACATATTTGTTGTATTGTTTGTAAATCATTGAATAGGGAGGGAGTCTCGAACCATTTAATGGTTAGTTAAATCTTGTACCGCTTATGTCAATTGTTGTGTCATATTTTTCACATGGATGGTTGGTTGGTCACTGCAACATAGTTTTGCGAGTAAAAATCATAGTTGGTTCTTGAATTTTATTTTCGGTTTTAATTTGATTTGTTATACTTTCAATTGTCTTAATTGAGTCTCTCAATTTTCAATTTTGTCTTAATAATTAAATCCACATTGAGTTTGGTAATTGGCTGTTATACTAGCCTATATAGGTTTGTTTTTTAGAGGAATAATGGGTGTGGTTTGAGACTTTATGATTCCACCGATTAGGACTTATCGGGATAGTTTTTAAATATTCTCCTTTGTCTCACCTCTGTTTTAATCAGCAAAAAAAGTAAAGATTTGAAATAATGTTATTTTGGTGGTAAAAGTAGCAGAAAGGTGAAATACAGCATTTTGGGCATTTCTCCATGCATATTGCATGGCTGGTGGTTCCACACAGGGGCGGCCCAATACTATTCGGGCCATGGACAAAAATTATAAATGTAGTTTTTAAAAATTTAATATTACTATATAAGTAATGCAACTAAAATTTTGCTTAAAATTTATTTATTTGTTATTTTTTGAGATGTAGAAGTACTAATTAACCTTCCGTACTTAACTTTTATTATTATATTATTTTTAATATATAGTATGGCTAATTTACTCAATATTTTTGTGACATAATTCATCAGAAATAGGAATAGTTTTAATTTTTAAAAACAAAAATTTGCAAGAGCAATTGGTACGTGTATTCTCAATACTATTGTATGAGCAATATATATATATGGAAAAAAAGTCTAATGTACTAAAAATGAAAAGAAAAGAAAAGAAAAAGGCTAGTCTTTCTATACAATTTATTGTTCTGATTGAAGTATTAGTGTTTGTTTATAAAATCACTTTTACATTTTTAGCTATGCAAATAAACCTAACTTATGAATGTCAAAAAGTTGATAATATTTTATAAACTTCTCAAGAATTTCATAATATACATTTAAGTTTATGAGTTTAACGTATAAAAATGAGAGAAATTACTTGAGAGAAATGTTGTAAAAACTTAAAAAATTAACATAATTTATTAACTTAATAATGTGACAGTTGATATAACTCAATAATATTATTCTAATTGAAACTGTTGAATTTCTTAAATAAAACCTTATGTTTTGACATATCATTAAATCATAAAATTAAATCTCAACAATATTACTCATTACTTAATAGTTTGAGACAAAAAATATATACAAAATAGTGTTGGATTTGAAGTTATCTTGTATCCCCTAACAACACAAGACTTTCTATATAATATATGGGTAAATAAAAGGAAAAGTCTAAGACAAATAATAATCCTATAATTATAATTAATCATGAAAATAATATGGGCCCCCTCATACGCGATGCCCTAAGCGGCTACCTAAAAGTATATGCCAAATTTATTTATTTATTTATTTTTTTACAGGAGGATCGGCCAAGCGAGCCAACCCTATGAAGGTCCACAAATATTGTCGGCCATATGTCATGATAGTCATAGAGAACTCACCAACAAAAGGTGAAAGTGGCATATTTAGCCAATCGACCCTTTTGTATATGCCAAATTTAAATTTGAACATTTATGTGGCAATTTGACAAATAATATTACATTGTACTCCAATCGATATGTCAAAATAATATATTTTATTCAATCTCTATCTTTAAATCTCTTTTCTTATATTAATTTAATATATATTGTTAAAACAATTTTTTGGATTAATTAAAATAAATATTATTAAAAATAATATATTTTAGAATAATATAAATTTTATATAAAAGTAGCTAAACATAAATTGAAACGAAATTATATGTAAATTGAAACGAAATTATATGTTACACCCATGACAATACTAAGTGCTCAACCAAATCAGCTTAGAGTTGAGAATGTGTTCTCCTATCGCGAATGTGTATGTAATTTCAAATAAAATCCTGAAATTTTAAGATGTGTTTGCACGACATAACACATTCTCTATTTTCACTTTCGTTTGCATCATAATTGAGTGGAAGATTTTCATCATGTTCTTCTTTAACAATCATGTTGTGCATTACAATGCATGCATTCATAATCAGCTGAAGTGTTTGACGATCCCAAAAAGGGACAAGGAACAATTGCAAAATGTGCTTGGAGCACTCCAAACACTTGTTCAACATCTTTCCTTTTGGATTATTAAGCTTCAGAATTTTTTTTTTTGCCTTTGACCCTTGTGGGCATGAAATTGTTTTCACATATATCAAATTGTGTAATCATGATCATTAATTGTGTAATTGGTTATAGGAGCTCGGCCTTCAACAAGGTCACTAAATAAAGGAGATCAGTCCAATACATTAATATCATTGTGTGATCGCGACAATTCAAAAAAAATATATCATATCCAAAGGTCATATGAAACAACAACTTTAAGAATCAACAAAGGCTCATGGTGGTCTCTGTGAGTATACATACCTTTCTATGTAGTTGGATAATTCTTTTACTTCCAATGCATACAGTCGATGCTACCAAGCATCCTATAAAACCCACGTCTATCATTTTTTGATAGCAACCTAGAAATGTTGGCGTTGTTTGGACGTCTCAAATACATACCGCCAAAAATTTCAACTTCCTAAACAAACCTTTTGAGTGATTTAATTGAGGTACTCTAAACAATCCTCATGTAATCACCCACAATATTTGTTGTAACTCCATAAACAAGCATTCTCCAGTAATCTTTTAAAGAGGTGACAAACCAAGACGACCAGCTTAATCTCTCCTTTGGACAAAGTACAGTCATGAGCTTCCACTGAATTCACAATTTGAAGAAAAAGAGATTGTCTCATTCAAAACTTCCATCGAAATTGGATAGTAGTGTACACTGAATTTTCTACATGAAGATTCCAATGGCTATAAAATTTCCAACGGCTATAAAAAAAATTTGTACCCCAATGGCTATAGAAATCCCAATAGCTAATCTTCAATGGCTGTTGAAATCTCAACGGCATGAAGAACTTGTAGGTATCAACGGCATGAAGAATCTATTGCCTTCAACAACATGAAGAACCCGTACAAAATGTTTGTACCGATACAAGACAATTTTGCTTGGTCATGTACCGGTACAAGCATGTAAAAGCCGATACAAATATGCTTTCCCGACTGTTAAATTTAGCAGTATGCCAAAATTTATTTTGCCATCTCAGCTTTTGGCATTTCTGTTGGAGAGGCCTTGCATGCTCAAAAGAACCTTTGGAGCCTCCACCTGGCATTTGGCATGCCGGTCGGAGATGCTCTAAGCTTCCAAGCTGTCTTACACTTGGGCCGGCATTGGTTCCACAAAAACCCGAAACCGAGAGACATCAAACCTTCTTGAAGGGTGTCTGGTGTGCAGACAATCTATAGCCATCCTAATTTACAGGAAGCCAACATTTTTCGCTATAAATGACTTTCATTCCTTATTAAATTCGAGGGGGTTTGGCGTCGATCAATCACAAGGAAAAAACAACTCAACAAATTGCCAAAAAAAAAAAAAAAAAAAAAAAGAAAAGGGATTGTCCTTTTCACAGCATAAACAGGACAGGAGACGCCGGCTAAAACCTCTTTCATCGAACACATTTCCAATCATTTACATACCTGACCATTTCTGGTGTCACTTGCAATGCTGCAACTTTCTGCCAAGTTTGTGTCAAGGCCAATGCAGCACTTTGTTCACTTGTTCTATATATCTTCTTCTTCATCAAGTGCTGGCTTACCTTGACCATCACCAATTCCAATCAGTTGGGGCGGTTAACAGAGATTGATTTCCCAATGACGACCCTTACTCCATAGTTCCCTTGATAGAGCTTCATTATGAGATCCTTACTTTCCAGTTTGGCTACAAATAACCAACAACTGAGTAAACTACCTCAGTTCTCCGCTTGGCATCATAGCTGCACTCAGTGCTTTACTAACACCACATGCTTTAATAGTGTTACCAAGGAATAATGAAGTCTCTGATGTTTTCGCCCTGCACTTCTCTTGAGAAAGGCTCCATGGGTCAGCTCCATGTTCTTCTCAAGAAAGGCTCTTTCCCTATCACCAGGGCATGATAGCTTTAAGGTGTATAAAAAGGACAGGAATATGACATGACAAACAGCTGTGAAGCGTATGAGCGACTTGAAATATAGTCCCGAATTTCTTTACATGCATTTTATCAGCAGGAAAGGCCATAGAAAAGCAAGCAATGGAAGATTAAAACCTTCTCTGATTTCAGAGTTACTAACTGCTAAGGGCCTCAGCTTCTTGCTGGTTGGTACATGTACATGTAACTTTTCGTAATACAGCTGAAAATTTTGAACCTCCTCTGACTCTTTATCATCAAGCAGCTGTCTTGGCAAGGATTTTAACACTAAAATCTTCAAATTCCACCAGCGGATGCCCCTAATAGATATCAAAAATCACATTTACTGGAAGGCAGAGGCTTATATAGTTATACTACACTTCTGGTTGATTACTGCACCAAATGAAACAGAAATAGGTGGTTCTTGCACGGCTGCACAAAAGAAATTTCGAAGCAATTGAACTTGCAGTATTTTTTTTTTTTTTGCAAGATAATTTTCAGAATGAGGAAAAGAAGGTAAAACAAAACCTTGTTCAGTGACTTTAGCTGAAAGAGAATAATTTCGATGCTAAATCCATATAATACTTTTTTTGAAACCCTTGTTCATAGTATGGTATGATAGAACTTCAGCTTCTTCTCTTGGGTAACATGATTAGAGGACGAGTTATGAGTTTGGAGCAATCAACATTGAGTGCCAGCTACTTCGGTTCATCATTTCAAACAAACAAAACAATTTTAATTATCTCAAATGTTTGAAGATGATTAGGCCTCAGTAATTTCATCATATAAAATGCCATTATAATTGCCACTTCCTGAGAACACGCACTGAAGAATCTGCCTCCATATTCCCATCTTAGGTACAAAACCATGCCTCACCATCTGCTTCAGAACCCAATCTACATCTCCCAGAAGATTTTGGTTGCAAAGCCCATGTATTATCAACTTATATGACTCAAAACTCGGATTCACACCCGACAGTATCATCCTACCCATAAAATCCTTTGCCTCAACAAAATTCTTGCTATCAAGCAAACCATACAAGACCTCTTGATAAGTCCCCGGATTTGGATCGCACCCGTTTAGCCTCATTTTATCGAAAAGTTCAATACTTTCTTCAACCTTCCCTTGTTTCCTAAGTCCTGAAATCAATATATTTAGTGTGATTGTATCTGGTTCTACGCCTTCATTTCCCATCCTCTCTAACAGCCCAAGTGCTTCATCAGCCCTACCACACTCACATAACCCATGCATTAAAGTAGAAAAAGTCCTCACGTTCGGTATACAACCCTGTTTAGGAAATTCATCGAGCACATAGAATGCAGCATCCAAGTCTCCATTCTTACACAACCCTTTGATAATTATATTCAAACTACAAGCATCAATTTCTATTCCCAATCTGGAAGCACCCATGTACACCTCATGAACAACATCAAACTGCTTTGTTGACACCAGCAAATTCAACACAAAATTGAAAGTTTTCACTGTCGGCCAACAATTATATTTTGGCATATCAAAAAGGATCTCAATCGCTCTATTTATTCGACCCATAACATGGCCATAGATCTTGATAGCATTGTAGAAAAAATCATCAGAAAGTCTACAACTTTTTTCAACTCTGATTCTTTTCATGACTTCCTCAATGCCATCAAAGTTATTGGCTAGTGCAAGCTTGTTGATGACTGCATTGAAAAGAGCTTCATTGGGTTTATAGTCTTTGCGCTTTGAGAGCTGGTCAAGTACTGTGAGAGCTGAATTGGGATCTTTCAGGGTTAGGAAGATCTTGACAACCTCAGTTGGGCTTAACCAGTCTTTGTGGTTAAGTAAGTTAAAATTATCACGATCTTGAAGAGATCCGGATGAAGAAAATTTTGATCTTCCGATGAGATTTGGACAAAACAGTGGATGGTGAAAGAGGGGTTGGTGGATTTTGGTGCTATAAAAAACAACTGACCGTGGAATCACTTTTCTCTTGATGAAGAACATCATGAGTCAGTAGAGGTTTGCCTGAATGCTATGTCCAGTGACAGGTGTTATTTAATATACAATCTGTCAAACCCAAGTGGTCCATTTCAAAAGTTAGATAGATGAAAAGTTTGGTGGATAAATAAAATATTATATTTGATAAAAAAAAAATAAAAAAGATAAAAAATAAATGAATTAATTTTCGTTCTAACTCATCAAAATTAATCTTTTCAAAATAAAAAAAAATAATAAAAAATTAATTATTTTTGTTGAGATGTATCTTATTTGTCTATATATATATATATATATATATATATATATATATATATAGTAGAGCTGAGTTTGAATCCAGAGACAAACAGAGGTTCAGATCGTTTTGAGACAAAACATAAACATATCCAACGGACAACGTAATCTTAACATAAAAGACGGTTCAAATCATTTCATAAATACTGATCTGACAGTCATAATTGAACTTAACTCTAATACTCACATATCTCATATAACTCTCTCTCTTTTATTTCTTAGAAGTTTTAAATACACTATCTCATCTCACCTCTCTCTCTCTCTCTCTCTCTCTCTATATATATATATATATATATATAGTAGCTAAATTATTTGTCTTTATCTTTTCGTGGCTCAAATCATTTTGATCTAATGGTTCTAATTAAACTTTCATTTATTTTATAACTCTAAGTCTATCATATAATTCTCTTTATTTATCTATCTATTTTACACACACTCTCTCTCTCATACTATTATCTTCTTTTTTTTCTCGTGTTGTTTTTACTATTAGTTACTCCATAAAACGTATGAAACTATATGTCATCCAATTATTTATTCCTTGAAACTAATTCAAAATGTTTATATATCTAACTGTATGTATTTTGTCACTTGCTTCTTAATTTGTAAATAACACTGAATGTAAATAAAAAATAGCACATTCACTATAAACACCAAATAATATTTAACATAAAATAAACCTTAAATTTTAAATTAATATATATTTTATCAAAAATTGACACTTAATTTTCTCTAATTTATATTCAATTTTATCAAATATCAAATTAATATTAAAATTTATTTAATCAATTTTTTGGAGGACTAAATTATATCAATTTTTTGAGTACTAAATCAAATTTTATTTTATTTTATTAAATTTTTAATTTTTTTGATACTAAATTTGGAGAAGGACAAATGTAAACATAATAAAGTTTTTTAGGATAAAATTATCAATTTTCGTTTGCAACATTAACGAAAAGGAGACAGAGGGGGTCTCTGTGCAATGAATAACAAATCTCAGGGGGTTTTCGTGTTATTTATAAAATATCATGAGGTGTTCGTGTAATATTTCCAAAACTCAGGGAATATTCATGATTTTTAGTTTTTTTTCCCTATTTTTTAATTAAACATTAATATATTATTATTTTACCTTAAAAACTTAAATTATTATATTTCTAATAAAAACAATTATTGGTTATAAGGGTTTGTTAGTAACCAAAAAAAAAATGTGTATGAGTTTGTTTTTGTGTATATTTACATGTGGAGGATTGAACATTTAGTAATTTAATTTATAATTATATTATGTCATTTGAGATTGAATGGTGATAGTAATGATAAATTCATGAGTTTATAAATGAACAAAATTTGGTTGATTTTATTTACCATTTAAAGATTGTGAATTTAATTATATTCTGTTAATATATATATATATTTTTGCTTGAGGTATTTATTACATAGAAATAGGGTGGTTGGAAACATGGTAGTTGAGTTGATAATTATATTGTGTTATTGAATGAAGTGGTAGTAGAGGTGATAATTCGTAAGTCTTATAAATGAGCAAGATTTTATTTATTTAATTTATTACTTAAAGATTGTAAATTTTAATGGATTATGTTAGTATTTTTTTTTTCATAGACATTTGTATATATGACGTTTTTTTGGAGAGTTTTTATATATTTTTATAGCAGTTCCATTAATATGAATGATATAATCGATAATATATTTTAAGTCATTTTAAAAAAAGAATTTATATGAATATTTTTAGGTCATTTCTTTTGAATTTGGACAATTGTTTAAAAATTTTTTTTTGTTGTATAGTGCCTTTAGGTACGGGTAATGACTAGTATATTTATATAATAAAGTAACTTAAATCTTAAAAGATAAATAAAATGACTTTAAAATTAATTTAATAGTTAATATTAACATCTTAAATTTAATAGGAAAAATATGCTCATAAGGGTGTGTTTGAAGTGACTTTTTAAAAGTACTTTTAAAAATTATTTATCATAAATATTTTTAAAAAAATAGTGTTTGAAACCGCCCCACCACCACTGTCACTGTTGTCGTCGCCATCACCACCGTAGGCACCGCCACCACTACCACCACCACTGTCACCCCCACCATTGCCACCGCCATCACCCTCACTACAAATCGATGCATAAATTCTTTTAACTATTTTTTATATTTTTGATTTAATTTTGAATATAAATACAAATATATTTATTGTTTATTATTTTTTATTACTCTGTGCACAGACAATAACTAGTATATAAATATATATAAAATATATATAAATATATATATATATATATATATAAGATTATAAAATGTTAAGCAAAACATTTGCTTCAGTTTCCATTGGATTATAAAATGACAATTAAAGTGTTTGCTGAAAATTAAACTGACAAGAGACTTGTAATGAATACACCTTTAGATTGAAATGGCAGAAATAATGGGGTTTCCCAGCACCACAAGTTTTTTTATAGTCAATTTCAGATTGTGAGCAAATGGCATATTTTATGTCATAAATGGAAGCTTGTGCCCTACCCATACCCAGTCTAGAATTCAGATATCTGTGATGGTTGATGTGATCTCCTCAGGCTGAGTTGGAATTAATCCCTCTCATCTTATGCTTGTGAAGAATTGATGATGTAGTCTGTAGTGCAAGAGAAGGTTAATGATGCAAGGTAACTTTTTTTCTTCATAAGAAATGAAATTTATTGAGTCAAAATGATGCAAAGGTTATCAGACACTCTGGTCTGGCCTAATATAGTGCACTTATACTGGTGTTGAGCTAGGCTTCCTCTCTGTGTAGATGGGCAGTGGGCACCCAACCCAACAGCAGCTTGACCTAGGGCAAAAGATAGCAGTATAACCAGGTAGATGGAAAGGACAAATTTAAGGGTGTATAATATGAAGTCAACCAAGAAGCTAACATGCATTAGGCATCAGGTTGACAACTTGTTCACTGGCTCATATTTTTTTAACTACTTTCCAGAAACATGATTAATTGGTTTCTGCTCTGAATTTTTTATTTAAGAATTTGCTTTGGACCCGTACATGGAATTTATTGGCGCACGCAGGTCTCCTGTCCTGTCCTGTCCTGTCAAATTGTTAACCTTGTCATTGAGAATCTGAAGTCACTAGAGGGGCTTGATCTTTTCACCTTTGCCCGGGATCACCTCCACATATTATCAAGAGGAAATCCTGCATCGTCGCCAAAACTTGGAGGAAGAATTTCTACAGCTATCTATCTGCAGAATCCTATTCAGTGGAAACTAGCTGTAATGAAGAAGATTCTGCTGACTTTGGGCCATTCATTCCTCAGGTTGATCAATCAATGATTGACAAGTTTTACCAAGAGGAGTGTGGAATGTGGATGGCCACTTGCCTGAACTTCATTCTGATGATCCATACATTGACAATAGGCATGAGGAGGTTTCACAGTAAACAGAAAATGGCATGCATTTATTGAATTTCTGTGCTCAAGGAAACTCTGATACAATGGGACTTAGAAAGCCAGACAACTCAAGCAATTGTCTGGAAATAGTTTTCCTTCCTGCGAAATTGTACATTTTGTAGAGCAGGAGGCTGACTTGTAGCACCCTTTTGATAAATTGGGTAATAGCCTTTCATTACTCTTATTTATTTCCATCTCTTCCTGTATGCTAAATATAGATGTGATAGATTCAGTTCAGTCCTGTTATTCATAAACATAGTCTATTAAAATTACCTTCAAAATTAGCACATTAATTTTTTTTAATCTCTCACTCCCAAATCAGTATGGCTTGCATCTGATCTAATAGTTTTTTGATGTTTCCCTTTCATGAGATTCTAGCTTCTGTTCTGTATACTTTCCTCATGGAAATTTTTTGACCATTCCTGATATTAGTTTTAAAATTGGTATCCATAAAAATTAAAGCAGTTTCTAGCAATAGTCAACCAAAGTTAGAGTAATGTTTCCACTACCACTTACATTTCCCTCCGCAACCACTTTTTTCATCTCTTCCCTTTTCTTTCCTTTTTTTTTCATGGACAAAAAATAATGAACGAATTTTCGTCAGGTATTATAATGAAAAACTCGTTAAAAAAAATTATCAAATTTATAACAAATTGTAATAAAATGTTCAAATAGGTCTCTTGCTTTCATTTCTAGATGGGTAAAATTTTAAATATGAGAATAATGACATGTTATAAGAGGAGTCTAATTCTATAAATAAACTGAATATATGCATCTTTTTGGAGGTAAAATTATATTTTTTCTTAAACAAGCTCCCATATTTGTTTCAAAATATTTATTTTGCTTGATTCAATTATTTACTTTAATAGCCTATTCTAAAGAATTAAATTTAAATATATTTATCCCAAAAATATCTTATATATATATATGTATTAAGGATAACTCGTATCTGAAGGCACAGTGCAATTAAAAAAAATTGAACATTAAATTTGAACGCAAAATAATCAAGCAACAATTAAATCGTATGTTTTTTATCTAATGATGGAAAAGGACAAAATAACTTAATTGAGACAATTGATAATTGAAGAACGAAATTGAGAGATTTGAAAGTTCAAAGACCAAATTGAAACCTGTGACAAAATTTAGGGACGAATTATAATATTTACCCAAATATTTTTATCAATACTCCATCAAAACTTTTTGGCTTAGTGAACAAAATCAATCAAGAGTAAACTACTTGAACTCTTTACAAATGCACAAAACATAAGCTCCAACATATAAT